AGAATTTGAGTGCTCTATATGACAATCAATTTTTTAAATAAAAAGATATTCGCAATCGGTTTGAACTATAAGTCTCATGACAGTTTTAACAAACAATTTTGAATAGGTTCTGCCAAGACAAGATTTAGCACTTTTCGCACATCAAAGTCAAATTAAACAAATACCGAATTTCCAAAAATATTTTAACAACCATATCCATGGGGGGCATATACTTAAAAATTTATTGTATAATAAAGTATAAAATTAAGTTTTTTTTGTGTCATTTTAAAAAATATATTTTTAGGTCAATATATTTATGACCCATATTCCAAATTATTGTTTTGACCATTTAGCTGTCAAAGTTTTTGAGGAGGCTTTGGATTTTATTTTATCGAAAACTAATATTATCTTTAAATCTGCCGCACCGATTAAACTTGCTCAAATATACTTCAAATTTTACCCCAAACATGAAACTCCAATTTGGACGGTAGGTATTTTTATTCTTCAAATTTACATTTAATCTTGGCATTAATCATTTTGGTAATTTTAAAAATTTATATTTATATTTCTTAATTATCTTCTGATTTATCGGGGGGCGGAACAGAATCCATGTCATGACACAGAGATAAGAAATTTATGGTATCGTTCGATAGATTGCTATAGATTTCCCAAGATCCTGATCATAGGCCCACAAAAGACCGGTATTATGATTTAACAAATCTAAATATAATTCCTTTTGATAGTATCAAATGTGGATACACTTACCAGAGATACAAATGGCACGGCCCGGTCAGGGTTTGTAAAATTGACACGGCACAGATTATTTTTTTCAGCCCGCCCAGAGTATATAAAAATATTTTTTATGGCTAGTGTATTTAGAAAGAAAAAAAATTCGGCCAAGAAAAAAATATATACCAATTTTACCGTTTTTTTAAGCTAATATGCAATAATTTAATATATAATACCTTTAATATCTACTTTATTCTAAAGTGAAGATTATTTTTCATATAAAACAAAAGAAAGAATAGTACATTCGTGTTCATTTTTGGCGAAATCAATTTTATTTTGTAATGTATGTGTTTGATCGACTAAAAATAAAAATTATAATAATTAAATTTGAGAAGTGAATAAATGTGATATATCATTCTATAATATAATATTTAATTATATTATATCTCATAATAGTCGAGTTTTAAAAAGATCGCCTCGGAGAGGGCTTATTAAAAAAAATGCCCAGTCCTAGTTTATTTAAATATACGAGCTCGCATACTCGGGTCGGGCTTTGGTCAGGGGCCTGCTGATCTCCGAATTACATGATTAACATACCATACATACGTCATTATAATATTATAGAATAACTAGTTTGGATAAAATATATTTTTTCAAGGTACCACGGCTCTGTTATGGTTTTTAAATATGAATCCGAACTTCGCATCGAATAAAATGACAGAATATTTCGAAGAAACCCAATTTTTTTCTAGTCAAAATTATTTAAAAGGCATCGATTGGTATAAACATAAAAGCTCTCTAACCAATGTTAATTTAATTTGTAAATTTAGGTATCTAGATTTGTATGAGCCAATTCTTCGTAATGTCACTAGCAACATATCAATGAATTCGGAAATTGTTTACATGGATAAATCTGCCACATATTTTGATAGTGCATTAGCACCCATGAGAGTCAAAAATCTTGTCCCCGAATCACTGTTATTTATTGTCCTATTAGATCCCATTGATAGAGCCTATTCTTGGTACCAAGTATGATGTCGTTGTTCAATATATAATATTGATTAACATTAGCATATGAGATATCACATGGATGAAACGGCTATCAAATATGATTTCAAAACTATAATTTCAATGGAGAAAAATCGCAGTCAAAATTTAACCGATGAACAAGATGCTTTGATTTCTAAATTGAAACATAGGTGTCTAGATCCAGGAAAATATGTTAAATATATCAATAGCTGGTTGCAATATTTTTCCCCCAAACAAGTGCAAAACAATTTTTTTCTTCATCTAATATTTATTTTATCTTTTAATAATGAATGATATTTTATTTGATAAATAAAAATAAGATTATTTTTATTATAAAAATAAGATTATTTTTATTGATGGTGACAATTTAAAAAAAAATGCCCCACTCGAAATGATGCGACTACAGAATATCTTACCTTCTATCATTGTAAACTATGATCAAGTATTGAAGTGAATTCTTTTTTTTTTAAATGGTTAATACATTAATATAAAATTTTTTTCAATTGCACATTTCAAATCGAGAATAAATGAAATATAGCCTATAATTTCATGAAAATTGTTCCATTATATTTATTTTTAAAAAAATAATTACAATATAAAGTCTTTAACTATCTTTTTCCAGCGAGTCACAGCCAAAAATGATAATTAAAATACATATTTTATTTTAGATACGATCCAGACAAGAGATTTTATTGCCAAATTGCAAAAAATAACAGAACAATATGTATGCCCAAAAGTAAAGGTAGACGGTATGTTGAGTTAGATGATGAAATGAGAGAAAAATTGAAGATATATTACAAGTTTAATTATATAATTACAAAATAATGTATTAAATCATTCAACATTTTTTTCTTTAGTCCCTACAACAAAGAGCTGAAAAGATTAATGGCATCAATCGATTTTAAAAATAAAATAACTCCGGATTGGCTAAAAGCTACTTAGGCACTATTCATAATTCGGTATTAAAAGGCAACTGATATTGTCTCATCATTAAAGCTCTTCATATACAGCCGATTAATGTAATTGGCATTTTATAGAGAATCTACATATAACAATTCGTATGACATCCTAATGAATATAAACGTTAAAATTCTAAAATTTAGCAATCATTTGAAATATAAATGCGTAAACGATTTTATAGATAACTATGATGATAATACTATTTCAAAAAAAATAATTATTTATTGCTTTTGTTATTTAACTCTAATAAAATATTTTTCTAAAAAGAAGATTCAGAGCTATGACCTACTTCTAAGGTTTAGGTTTGGGTTCAGTAAATCTCTGAACTTCGTTCGGGTTCGATGTCCAATGGATACACACGAATTTGAAAATTGTGAAATTTAGTTAACTATGAATTCGCCCGAAACTAATATATCTGAATATAACCCCATCAGGCTTTGGGCCCATATATAGATTCATTTTATTTTAACCAAGTTTAAATTATATTTCAGTATGGGATTATTTACCGACAAGAGAATTACGTAACAAAAGTCGAATATTTTATAGGATTATAACTTAATAGTCAATGATGGTTTAGGCATAATATTTTGTGAGTGATCAAGTGGAGATATAGTGTGAAAATGAAATGTCAAACGAAATATTGTCCTAAAATGAATTAGAAAATATAAATACATATTGATAAAATGTGGAATAAAAAAAAAGAAACAAACTTTGATAGTTCATCGCTCTTAAAATATGGCTCTATAACTTTGTTTTGTCTAATTTTATAAATAATCTAGTTTTAAAAATAGTTCGAGTGGGACCTTTTCTTGACAGGCGCGTGACCAAGGGGGGATTTATCATCCCCTTATAGCAAATTTGCCATATCATTTTAAAATTTCCCCTACACACACCCCCTCTAGGCAAAAAAATGTATACAATATATCAAGAAGAATTTGAAAGAAAAATTAGTAAAAGTTTAACTTTTTAAAATAACAACGATAATTCAAAATTTTTAGAAAAATAAGTGAAAATTCAAAAATTATTTGTATAAAAATATAATTTAGACAAATGCCTACAATAATTTGAAAGACCTCCAATAAAATTTATGACGAAAACCCCTGCCTAATAGTGCCCCATATATGAAAACCTTGGATATGCCTATGTCTCATGACCTTCTATAAAATCAAAATAACCTCCTACCTTCTAAAAATTATAATGGAGTTGTTACATAAACCTCCCCCAATATAGAGGGCACCCTATATATTTTTTAGATAGTTATTACTTATTAGATGTTATATTATTATAAATAAATAACCGGTCTTTTTTAGTTATAGAAATACTATACTATCAGAATAGGCCACTTCTCAAAATTAGAAGGCTGAAAATTTTTTTAAAGATGTTTTTGATCAAATATTAATTAATTGTAAAAAAATATAACAATTAATTTTGTATAGAAAATCTAATTTTTATTTGCCTTAGAGTTTTTATAATATAAATGATGAAGTAATATTTAATTTTTCAAATAGTTAAAAACTGAATATTTTAAATAGCCATTATTAGCTATAAAAATTAAAAATAAATGTTATATATTCTAAAAAAATTAGGGCGGGCCGAAAATTTTTTTAAAATAAATCAAGGCCGGGCCGTAAAAATAGTAGCTCTGCAGGTCTTTGATAATTATCATTAACCGACCCGAAATGATAGTATGATAAATACAAGTCTTCTTCGAATCTTAAAGACGTTTTTTCCCTATTGCTTTAAAATGGGCTCCTCTAAATATAATTTTCTGGCTATAAATTAACTTTTCTTCAAAACTTATAGAAACGTATCTTGTCTTATTGCATCAATAATTTTGATCAAAACTTCTATTTTATATTTAAGATTTTGAAACTATAATGAAAAACTTTAAATTTTAGCATTTAAAATTTCTACTCTCTCAGATATTGTTATCATTTTAAGAAATAAAGTTTTCAAAAAGCTTTATTTTGGGTAATAAATTTTTTGCTTTTGAAGCAACCTCACTGCGAAATATATTTATAATTTCTAATAAAAGTTTTATAATTATTTTTTAATTTTTCTCTATTGATATTAGCAATATTATTGCTCAGTATGTAGGGCATAGTGGTCTTAAAGTTAGAAAGTTTGAACTATCATTTTCATCTTGAATATAACGAAATATCTCTATGCGTTTGGGGGAATATCATACAAAAGATAATGCATCTTTTAATACAATAAAATAGCGAATTTTCGCAATAGTATTAAATAAATATTTCACTAAATAGTATTATCTTTTATTAAAATAATTTATATAATTCCCTGTCAAAATCATAGGATATAATATAGTTTTCTTTTAAAAAAATATTACAATTTAATTAAATTATCGGGTCCATGAGCGTACATACAAGAAGATTCAGGATAAAGACATCCTTGAGGATGATTTTGATAAAACCAACACATTTTGCTCTTCTTAAAGATGGCGAATTTTTTATTACCCCGATTTTTGTGGCGAGATTTTAAGTTTTGTCCTAAACTAGTCCCCGATACATTATTACCGTTTAAATTTTGGCCGACGTCTATATTCGCATGGTAAGAAAGTGTGACGAATTCTCCTTTTACTATTAAAATTAATATTAAAATTATACTACAATTATAGGTCAGTGATATTACGTTATTATAGTCTCAATAAAGTTAACTAAAAAAATACTACTTAATAAACAACGATTATAATTGATTGATCACATTAAAAAAACCTGGCTAGATAAAAGGCCGGTGAAATTTATATATTTTTTATAAAAATACACATAGAAAACCCTGCTAGCCCATATTTATGTTTTTGTTAAATCAAGTAGGTCACAGGCCAAATTTTAAGTTATAAATATCAGCTTGAATTTCTCTGAAGGGGTGACTAATGTGTTCATTCAAGCAATAGTAACTACTGTAACCACATTCATCATTATAAAAAATTATTTCAAACTTGTAAATATATATTATTTCACAAATTGGAGGTTGTGGTGACATTTTAGCACAATTTAAATATTAGTAATTTTTTGTAAACTTTACCTGTAAATATATAACCGTGATTCTTTAAAAGTGTCCTAATTCCTCCTGCTTGCGATTTTAAAGCCGTCTTTTCAGATGAATTTAGCGTTTCTATTATATCTGATAATGGAACTCTCCCTAATGATTAATTATAGTTAGTTAAGAAATTAGAATATAATAATGATTTAATACATAAAAATAAGTAAAATTTTCACCTCCACAGTGCCAAAAAATAGTAGAATCTTCGATAACAACCTCAGGTTCTTTATTAGAATGTTGTATTTTATTCACTTGTTTATTTTAAAAAAAGAAAAATATATCGATAATGATATCAAATGCAAATTAAGTAAAATGTCGATATTCTATTTAAATTATCACTTGTGTGGAGATTAGCAGTGCTCTCCTCTACACTCAATTTCAGCTTATCTATATGATCCTGGATATTTTTTTCTTTTTCGCATCCAATTACATAAAAACCCTTGATAGGATCAGCGCTAATAATCATGGCAAAAACTCTATTCACAATATCCGTAATGATAGATTTGTCCACTAGAGTGCAATTTCGAACCACTTCCAGCTTGGGTCTGGGAATAAAATTAGTTTGTGTTCCTATAGCATCACCTGATGTCTTGAGTAGCAATGTATTTTTTTGACTTGGAGGATATCCGATCAAACATATCTATCTTGATATTAAAATATTATTATAATGAGCAAATTTCTATATTGAAATTTTAATCGGCCATAGCCGCTTGGCCATATGATTAGAGATATGACCGACCCAAATTGACCGGTTAATCAATCTCGAAAGAGTTGTCCCTCCCAATCTGTCATAATTTTCTGGTACCGGGCTGTGCAGATTTTTACATACATAAACGTAGCCATGGGGTAGGGAGAAGGGGAAATCCCCCTTAATAAATTTGCCTGTTCTAGTAAATATCATTTTAAGCTATAAAAGTTTTCCTCCTATAAATCTCCCCACCACTATCCCCCAAAAATGTATACAATATACTATAAGGAAGAATTAATAACTTTTAAAAATAACAGCTATAATTCAAAACTTTTAGAAAAAAAGCATTTTTATATAAAAAAAATTGAAAACCCAAATTATTTTTATAAAAGTCTGATATAACCAAAGGCCTACAATAAATGAACCCAAAGATCTCTAATAAAATTTAACATGGAAAACCTCATCTAATAGTGCCCCCCCCCTCTTTTCCTTAACAAAATCCTGGATACGCCTATGTCTATATACGATTCCGTCAAAATATAAATTTAAAGACATTTATTATTCATTTACAGGCTATGATATTGCTAAAAATATCATTTTGAATCAAATAAAGATTAAATTTGTCATTTATTTTATAAAAAAAATTCCCTTCGCCCCTTAAAAATCGAACTCAAGAAGTTAATTTCATTATTAAAAGTAGATATTTAATATTATGCTGAAGTAATAGGATATAATAATTATGATTGTTCAAACTCTCTTAGTCGATGGAATCCTTAACTTATCGACGTGAGTTCGAAACCCGTATTTGTTTTTGAGCAAATCGGTGAGAAACATCAAATAATCCTCATAACGACTCAAATGGGGTCTCCTGCGTTGATATTTTCCGTAAAAGTCATGAGGGCAACATGGTAAAATAAATAATTTGTTGCGGGGAAGATGTAAGGTATCGCTACATATTTAATTTATATAATTATTTTTAGAGGTTCATAATACCAGTGCAAACTTTAAATTGATATAAATAATTAAGTTTTTATTGGAGTGTAGTCTCCACTACGAATATTTTTTATTATATGACGTCGTAAAATTAATGAACTTTAGTATCGCGATTACCTAAGGGAAAAACATATAATTCGATGATACTCGCATTGTTTAAAACAAAAAAGTATTTCTTTTAAATGTATATTATAATTACTTTTTTTGAGATAAATGAGGAATCCAGGGAGTTAATTCATCACAATGATTGCCTACGATCCATTCGTATTCCGAAAAGACGCAATTTTCTTGGGATGGATCTAATGCCATCTCCTTGAAAACCACGCGGAATAAATAATTCGCGTCGAATATATATTTTTTAAAATAATATTAATCATAAATTTATTGTCATATAAGTAGTATTATTATTTCTTTTTAAGTTGACCACGTGGCCACTCCCGGAAGCAAAAATAAATTTCAACAAAATAGAGAATCTTCTTATCGAAGATCTTCTCAAAGCCCCGATTATATAAGGAATTAAAACCAGAACACTTATAATCTGCCGCAGTTTGAAAAACCGAAGCCGTTAAGCATTCATATGAATTGTTGGTGTAAATATCGGGTTAAGAGTCATGAAACCGCTAGTATCCGGCTTAATTTGCGAGATCGGGGATAAATTTATACTTAAATTGTCATTTTTATTTATGAGTCAATATAAGGTCGCCTATAAAAATACGAATTAAATAAAGATTACTACGAGTAATGAAATCACCTTTAATTTCGCTGGATGTTCGAAGACCATTTGATTTGAAATTTTGTTTAATAAAATGTTTCAAAAACAAAAAAAGGATTATTAAACTTTGTAAAAAAAAAAGGAGAAGTGATAAAATAGATTGTGAAAATAAGCTTAATTTAAGTTCCATTGAATGCTTTAGAGTTAAGAATAATTTCTAAATAAATCTAATATTTTAAAATAAGTTTTAAAAAAATTATTGGAGTGCTAATATGTGTTTTTTTGTTCAAAGTGAGAAAATCGACTTTTTAGTTCTACATTATTTTTGCTAAACTTAAAACCAAATTGAGATAAATTTTGGGATAGAGTTAAAAACTAATTATTATTATGCATTTTATTTAAAAAAATTGAATCATAAATCTTTTCAACATCCTTCTAAATAATTTATAATAATTGCTCCAAGTCTGCATCAGTAGATTTTTGCCCGACCATACTATAAGCGGGGTTGGCGGGTGAATTTGGAAATTTTTTTGGCGAAATGAGCAAAACAGGTTTAGATTTATTTTTAAAAAAAAATTTATTTTATAATATTATATATATTATAAGTTTAAACAAATTATTATTTGAAAGAAGCAAAAACATCGATTCTTCATAATGATTTTTAAGTCCGGTTAAATTTTTTTCCTCAAATTCTTCAAATAATTTGGGCCCCGTTTTGAAGGACTCTATTGTATGAGTTAAGGAATATCTTTCAAAAGTGTGATTTTTTGTAATATATCTCGAAAATAAGGATTGATATTATATATATATTAAGTAAAAATAATATTAAAATAAACCAAGAGTTAAACTAATCAATCAAATAATTTAAAAATATTGGGGTGGACGGGCTAAACAAATAAAAATAGGCTGACGGGTTGAGCTTTACTCCTAATATTCTTTCCATTAAATTAATTTAATTTTTTTAAAATCTTAAATTTATTATTAAAGATTGATAATATATTTATGGTTATAAAAAAATAGTAACATAACCAAATTATTTAGTGAATGAAAAAAAAATAAGTTAAAATTTTAATAATACACTTAAGATGTAAGGCTTAAATAATTCAAATCTAATAGAACGAATATGGATTAGAGATCTGCATTGGGCGGGTTTCCAGCCCGACCGCTTACCCCCTTCCATTTAGGTGGGCGAGAGGGTAGGCAAAAATTTTAAATTTTTGCTAAATCATTTAAGTAAATATTAATAAAAAATTGTTCTTATGACTTTTGTGGATATTAAAAATAAACTTCTTTGTATGTTAAAAATTAAACTGTCCTTTTTGATATCGTAAAAACTTTTTTCTTAAAATAAATAAACTTCTGTGTATAATAAAAATTTTCTTTTATGGTAATGTAGTAAAACTTTTTAATTGAAACAAATAAACTTTTGTGGACATTGAAAATAAAAATTTTTTTGAGCATAATGAATATTTCTGCATTGCATTGTTTTATTTTAGTAAAGATTGTTTATCTTTATATTTGCCCTTTTCATTTTTATTTTTTTATATATTATATAAATTTTATTTTTTATAACAGAATTTTTAACAAAAAAATATTTTTTAATTTAATTTAATTTTTAAATTATATTATGAATAAAGAATATATATCTAAAAAAAATTAAAATAATTTTTACAAGTTAAAAGAAAATGATTCAGATAATAATAAACTCAAATTTTCAATGTGGAAGCAATTTAAAATCCTTTTCGATATAAATGATAAAAAGCTAGATTGGATTAGCTGCAATGATTACGAATCCATCTATAAAAATATAAAACAAGTGGCATATCCTTCTTCCTTCGCATCAATGTTCATCTGCAAATTATGAAGATTTGATAGATAATAAAAAAATAACCGGATATGTTTTAATTTTTATTAAATTATTCTTATATCTTTTTTATGCCATTTCAAGCCATTCAACGACCTGGATTTGTATTATTTTCCAAATATTAGATAATAGACTAAATTGTTCAGCATATATATTGAACACAATACTTCGCAATGCATTCCAGACAACTTTTATTTTGAAAATTGCTCTCGAGATTAATAATATCTTGGCAACTGCAAAACCGTTAACCACTTATTTCAAACAAAGTGGCAACGTAAAATATCTGAGACGTTACAACAAAATATTGATATAAGATGGAATATAAAGCAAAAGATGCTACAAAGCATTTATATAATGTATGATGAGATATTTTTGTTTTTAAAATCTCGTGATATGACTGAAAAAATGGAATCCATGGGAAAGAAGTTTTAAAAACACTGATAGATTATTTGGATCCATATAAAGATGCAACGAATGCTCTTGAGGGTGACTGCAGGTCTACACTACGAAACATTCTTATATGGTATGAATTTTTTTTATTTATTTATAAATAAATTAGGTATAATCTTCTTCTACATGAGCATAATCAAATAAATATGAATATAATGGAGAGAAAAACAAACTGCGAAAAAGAAATAGATTTAATAAAGAAAAAAGCTAAATATTTTATAATTGAAAATTTTGAAATCCATATGCTCCATAAAATTTTAACATTTTTAATACCAAAGTTCCGACAACTGTAAATGTTGTCATTGGAAGAAATTAATGAAGTAAAAAAAACATATCGAAAACATGTTGGTTATTTGCATAGAATAATATAACATAGGCGTTGATGAAAATTTGATTTTACCCGTAAAGCAGAGAACCCAATTAAAGGGTAATAATAAGTTAAATTTACTTAACTACTTATTAAATGCAATATTTGAAATGAATAACATCCGCGTCAAAATTAAACCACAACAGATGGGAGGATGAGGTTGAAACAAAGGAGAGCACAGTATTTAATGACATAACAAAATATTTAAATCCCCTTTATCACATATGACTACTAATCAGTCACATAGTGAATTTTCTGACCTATTTTACCGTGTAAATTATTTTGGCGCTAAAATTTGAATTGTGTCTTACAAGTAACATTCCTTTTATATAAAAATCATTTTTTTAAATAGAAATTCTCATATTTATTTAAAATGCGAGTATTTAATGTCAGCTGTTCCCTATATTTCAAAATTGACATTTTTCGTAATTTTTAATTACATTTTTTTAATATTAAACTCCAATATTATTTTTCAAAAAAAATATCAACAGATAACTAAAATATTTCTATATTCTTTTCCGTTTTTATATTTAAAAAAAGTTTAATTAAAAATTTTTTACTAGCATTAATATATTTGTAACACAAAAGACACAAAGATGATTTCATCATCTGATTCTTCTGATGATAGCCTTGAAGATTTCGACGATAATGAGGATGAAAATTCATTATTTTCAGATAATTTTACTGCTATAAATAGACGAAGAGATGATATGTATAATTTAGCAAATTTTAAGCTGCTTATTACAATTAATTTTAATTTAAAATTACTTTTTTAAATTTATTATTATTGGTCTCCCTTTTGCTTAAAAATCTCACTTGAGGAAGAGGATATACTTCAAGCGCATATTATTTTGGTGGAAACAACAAGATAAAGATTTGCCTAAGCTATCAAGATTAGCAAGAAAAATATTATTCCTACAACTAATGCTTCTTCTGAACGAGGATTTAGTATTACTTGAAGGTTTTTAGAACACAATAGAACGTGTTTGAATCCAGAAAATGTCGATTCATTATTAATTTTGCATTATAATTACATATAATATCAATTTTATATTTATATTTTTTATCATAAATATTTTATTTGATCAAATAAATTATCCATAATTTAAATTGAATATTTTTCGTGCTTAATATAGTAATTTTCTAAATTATAAAACTTCTTTGTAGAGGTGATGTGATATGCTTAAAATGATTTATTTTATTAGATGCTTAAAAAATTGAAAGAATGGCCATAATTAAATTTTATAATGGCGGGCTTGGGTTAAATTTTTTTATAATAGGCGGGCGGGTAAATATTTTAAACTAATGAGCGGGCGAGTATATTTTTTAAAAACTATGGGTGGGCGTGTTAAATTTTTTTTAAACATTGGGTGGGCTTATGGGCTAAAAGCCGCCCAATGCAGGCCTCTAATATGGATATTAAATTATTCGTTTTGTTAGAAAACTAATAAGAATTATTCACTTCGTATAAATCTAATAAACGAATCAAATAAATGAACTATTAACTTCGTATTCGTTTTTGACTGACTAATGATTCTAGTCAATTTTTTATCCACCATTGCTCTGAAATATTAAAATAGATCATGGAGACGATATTATTTATTTTTTTACTATGTCGGCCATTTTTATTTATTAATAATGTTATTAAACGCACTTGTAAATTCAAATTTTCTTCGGTTTGTTTCAAAATTGACCAGGTTTTTCGCTCCCTAATATCGATTCCTACACCCTTAAATCCGCATTTAGTTAAAAAGTAAGTGAGAAGTCCATTGCCGCATCCCAAATCCAAAAACTTATATTGGAAATATTTTGATTGATCTTTGTTAGGTAATTCTTTGTTATTTGGCTGACAAGTTTCACAATCATCTATTCTCCATAAAGACTAAAAAAAGAAGCAAAATATTGATATATATATAGTTGCAATAATGATAAAAAAAAAACTTTCTGATACCATAAGATATGCAGCAATCGCCATTTCTTCGTATATATGCTTTTTTGGATCTGTATTGAATGGCCAATTATTTAGTAAATATTTCGAATGCTCATGCTTCATATCATTGTATACATTGTTATAAAAGATCAAATGAGAATTTATCATATTGAGTGATCCTATTTTAAGTTCATGGATATTATCATAAATTTTTGATAATTTTAACGTTCTATCATTATGATCTCCTTTTTCTATACACATTTTGCATATCTATATATAAAAAGAATATATTTAATAGTTTATATATGCGCTGAATTAAAATCTAATTTCAATACTTTTTTTTATCAATTTTTGAAACATACTTTCTCTCCCCCCACCCCTTCCCATTTATTAGATTTTATTCATTTTTGTGGATAACCTCTTAAAATGTTTGTCGCATATTTGCATTATATCAAGAGCTGAGCTAGTGTTGTCTCAAGTTTCCTTTTCCAAATTGAGCCAGCTGATGGAAAAAAAAATTGTGACCTAAGAGCCTGTTAAAATTGTAAAAAAATTATTCTCTTTCCATCTTTTTTTTGAAAAATGGGCAACAGATACTTATTCAATCAAATTTTATCTATATTACTATATTGAAAAGTATTGGAAAGTTTTTCTAACTCACCGAAGACTTTTTAAATCTATCTATGCATATCAACCTGGAAAAACAATAAATAATGGAAGCAATTTTAATGTTGAAAATTATCATTCAGAAATGCAACAAATACAGTTTTTTTCTTCACTTTTGTTGATTTTAAGAGAGCATCATAATGAGGCTTTATTGGAAATATTGTTTAAGTGTGGTATCATCATAAATAATAGGAATACTAAAAAATCAATGTCAGATGCCACCTTATAGATAAATAACAGAGCCCTCCCCCATCACCATTCAGGATTATGAAAGGAGTCACAAAAGGCTGAGACCTATCTCCAATACTTACCCAATATTGTAATAAAGTAAAAGGTAAAAACTTTTTATGAAAATTTTTATCTAGATTCCTTTTGCACAATAAGCCATAAAATGAGAACCTGAGAGTTAAACCCTTCTAGTTAAGTAAAATTATAGTGTCAATTTCTATATATGGGTAAGGTCAAAATAATACCATGGTTCATAAAAAATTAATATTGTTTTCCCACCCAAATGATATAAAAGGATCATGTGTGGTCAAATAGTAAGAGCAGAAATGGAGAGATGTATAAACCAACCAACAGTACATAAAGAAAATATCATGTATGTTGATTGTTTTAACAAGCTAAAAGATAAATTCCAAATAAATGGCATCAAATTTTATAGTTTATAGGAATCATCTCAAAATTTTCAAATTGGTTAAAGCATATGATATTTTGATGACTATAATAAAATGTTCTACAATATTATTTATATAAATATCCCAAAATAAATATTATAAAAAAATTTTTTAAATACCCAAATATTACTATTTTTATTACCAAGTATATTGTGTCAAAAAAGAAACCAAAATGTTTAAAAGTGAAATATAAATAAATATATTTTATTCCACCCTATAAAATAAGATGATGATTCTTTTAATATAAATAAAATTGAATAAATTTGCATACAATAGTAAAGTTAGTATGCTAAAATATATAATAATAATTTATTTTTTTTGTAAATAATATTAATTTAACATATATGGATAGAAAAGAAAAACAAAAAAAATTAAAATATCCACAGAAAAAAATATTAAAAGTGAATATTGAATTTTTTTAAGCAAAAATATTTAAAAAAGTATCGAATCTGTATCTTTGTCAAGAAAATGGAAAAGTTTCTTTTTAAATAAAAGAATCTTAGATAAAGATATAAGTTTTACTAAGATAAAGAAACAATTGGATCTTGTATCATAGATATAAATTTTCGAGGTCCTGTCCAAAGGTTTAATTTTAGACACTGTTCAGATTTTTTTTAAAAATTTATTTTCAACCTTAAGTTTTATTTTTAATCTTGCCCATAATTTTTAGAATTATTAATTTTATTTTATTTAAGAAATTGAAAATATGGGCATATCAGAGACCTGCAGATACCATTTGCACTGCCCGGCATATATTTTTCTAAAAAAAATTATAAAAAATAGATCTTATAATTAACTAATTTATTAATCTTGCCCATAATTTAAAATTGTTAATTTCATTTTTTTAAGATAAAAATATGGGCAGTAAATAAATATCAGAGACCTGCAGAGATACCATTTGCACTGCCCTGCTTATATTTTTTTTTTTAAATTTTGGCCCAATCCAGGTTTTATATTAGGTATTTTAAAATAATATAGCCTGGTCGACCTGGGCTGCTTAGGGCCATGCCTGCAGGTCTCTGATGATTATGTGTTTTTATTAACATTGATATCCAGATTTTTAATATTATTATTTATAAGCCCAGATGAGCCTGGATTTTAAAAGTCACTAGGACATTCCAGACCAGGTCTGCAGGTTTGTGATGATTTATAAAAGTATTTTGACAGGAGTATATTATAAAACTAATAAAAGGTTGCAAAGGATTAAGAAGTGAGTTAGACCCAACTTTGCTTAATAAAAGATAAAAATAAAGATACTTTTTTAACTACTTCCTATGATTGATTCAATAACATAAAAATTATTATTACTTTTGGATATAATATATTTTTAAGCCATGATAGATCCTTTAAAACATAACCAGCATAATTGTCTTGATTAATTTGATTTTGATGATCATCATATATATTTTTTATTTGGTTTGGAATATTTAATCCAATACTAAAACAACTAAAAATATATTATAATTTAATAATTTTAACACCAATCATCATTTATGAAAATCTGATATGAAAAAATAGGTATAATTGACCTCAATTTTGTAATATTTGCTTCAGGTATATAGGTTATTTTATTTTTGGCTATAATAAATTTTTATTCACATTTATTTTAATACCGTAACTTACATTTAGAAACATATTGAACCACTGAATCATGTTTATAAGTATTTTTAGGGATAATTTTATAAACTTTTAAATATATTTTATGCTCTATGTATTTTAAATTATCAGAAATATAATCTACATTTATATTTGATTCCTCGTTGGTCAGGAATACTTTATTATTAAATAAACCAGTTTTCGTTTCATACAAATCTAAAACCTCATTGAATAGTGATTCTGAAATTTTCTGACTGGTAGTTAAAAATTCCTGAAAATTTTCCATATGATGATGATGGATTGATTTTTCGAATCGTACCGCCGGTTTTAATTATAATAAATGATTTAATATTACTAGTAGATAACCCGTCAAAAATGACGGAGAATGAGAATTTTATTCGTTCTCTTACGATTGAGGTTGCCTTTTATTTAAAAACCATATCCAATTTTTATACTTTTTATCCCCCCCCCCCCTAAGGCCAAGTTCAACCAATTAATACTAAGTGAGTACTATTTTTAAATTAAAAATATATTTATATTAGCTTTTACTTGAGACCCATATCAAAATTCTTTGTTAAAATATTATTGATTACCTATAGCTAATATTAAATATTAAAAAATACCAAGTCAGGTCCAACCCAATGATATATTTGAAAAAATTACCTCAAGCCAGGTTCAAGACCATAATAATTTTGGTTGTTCAACACTAAAATATTATTTAAAAAATCATAATGCATTAATCAGAGATCTTTATGATCCTTTTTTTTTATTAGGCCCCACCAAGGCCTGCAAAAAAATTTTTTAGATCTCCAAGCGTCCAAACCTTAATAATTTTGATTTTTCCAAAGCCCAACCCATTAAATTTTGAAAATTTTTCTTAAATCCCCGTGATAATATTTAAAAAAATTCCCAAGTCATGTCCGCTATATTAATTTTGAGTAATCTCCAAGCCCTGCCAAACCCATAATAATTTTGAAAAATTTTTCTCAAACTCGAAGATAGATAAATTTCTGATCAATTTATCATAGACCTGCCTTCGGTCTGAGGAAGTTGATCAAGAAAAGGTTATACCTCTATAATCATTTGATGATTTAGGGAAAGATATTTTAGGTAAATTAATGACGGTTGATTTGTCAGGAGGTACGCTTGCTTTATCATATTTTTTTAAAACTGTAAGTAGAATTTTTGATGTTCTAATTGGGAATTTTTTTTAAAGTTAATTTGAAAGATTGTCTGACATAGATTGATTTTGGAGACTGTTTATAGCTTTTATGATAGCATCTTGTTTTAAGGGAGAAGGAGCATGTGTGTTTAGTTGTTGAGAAATTAAAGATTTGATGAGAGGCATTTTACAATTGAAAATGTTCCTATAATGATCAATAAATATATTTATTTGATCTTATAGATTGTTAATCGTAGAAAATAAATTAGTAGCATCACTAGGGTAAGGGGGGGGGGGTGCGCGCAGGGGCTCGAGCCCCCTAAAAAATTTGATTAACCCCTTGAAGTAAAAAAAAATTTTTTAATGGCTCTTTAATATCCCGAATGAACTAAAATTAATTTTTTTTTTAGTTTTATGATTTGGATTGGTCATTTATATTATTTTCTTTAAGAAATAAATTTTACCTTATTAGTCCATTCTATAAAATATTTTCTAAAATGTAACAAAGAGTTATATTAGTTTTATGACCTTTTCTCAATGTAAGTTGCTAAGAATTATATTATATTATGTGGTTTTTATGAATCATTATCAAATGAGGCATATGTATTAATTTATTAACCTTTTTTTATCGCTTGTAATTCTTTAGATGAAAATATTTTATACAATAATAAATAGATTTTGTATTAAATATTATTTTTAGAATTGTCTTGTATTGTTTTAATTATTTATATGCTAGTTTATTTTGTATGCATGCATCTATAATATATATAAAAGCCGTGTCACAGTCACAGTGTCATAATTTATAATATATATTTAAAAAATCATCAATTTTGAAAAGCATCTGTGGCCTAATCGGCAAGAGCGTCGCTTACGAATCTGAAGGTTTAAATTTCAATAACAGCAATGCATTTTTTTTTCTTAATCCAACTTAGTATACTTTTAAAATTATATTAATTTCCTTATTTTTTTTAATTTTTATTATTTATGTGTTCAATAAAAAAAATTAATTTTGCTAGATGAGGGTTTTGTATATTGTTATCATGGAAACAGATTTCGCATTTAGACTTATTAAGAATGAGTCTATTAAAATTGGCTTCATAAAATTGAAAACTAATTATTTAAGAAGAGCATCACAAATTGT